TGCGGTCTAATGTCTTTCATAGTAAAAGTCAAGAAACATGAAGTGTAAAATCCACTTTCAGATCTTGTTTTCCCTGCACCCTCGCTTGATGACGTCTATGCAGTATTGGATTGTGCTGATGGAACCGATCTACTGACGAGGTCGATTGAAGCCGAGTTGCCTCAACCTTCGCCACGATCGGCGACACCCAAGCAAAGGTACGGTGATATGTCAGAAGCTCTCACGCACTTCACTGTGTGACCTGGAAGGGGTGGCAAAATTTATGAGTTTTGTAGTTAAAGGGTTAAAAAGAGTAGAATTCGTGAAATAAATCGAAAATGATTCGTTTACGGGGGGCAAATCCATGACAACTTTTGAATGGGAAGATTTGTTAAAGCACCATGATGTTTAGATATGGGTATGGAATGTGTCATCATTACTGTAGTTACTTATACCCCTTCTGATTTCGTGCACAACGTCATAGGGTCGCCGCGAAGTGTAGGGCTCGAATTCTGAAGAGTGCACATGGAAGGCTCTCATTCTTTTTTATCTGACAGCTTCAACCGATTAACGCAGACCGTTACCGGCTTGAATCAAGAAAATATGTGTGGAAGGTCAAATTCAAAAAACCTCTTCAACAACTCCCCCCCCTCCCGCCCCGTCCATATTCTGACCCTGCATCAGTGAGCAGCGTGTCAAATGTCACGAGGAATCAAATGTCACGAGGAATCGAAGTTTACGTCAAGGGCTCCGAAATTTCGAAGCTGTTGGGCAGCGTTCAGACTTAGCGGTGACGCGCGTCGTCGCGCTACCTTTGCTACCGAAACGTAACCATAGAAGGGCATCCATCGGCACTGGTCGCTAGTGTTTCGAGAGAGTATGAGAGAATGTGAGGTACAAGAATGTGTGATTTGGCAACGAGTACCTTCCTATTCTCCCAATCTCTCTCAAGACACTAGCGGCCACCGCCGATCGATACTCGTCTATGGCTGCGTTCCTCTCCAGTATTGGTGCGTTATTGCAATGGTGCCGTAGCGCGACTTGGCGCGTTGCCATGGGTAAGACCAGAGAGTTATGCTAATGCGATTCAGAAGACTGGCAGATGATCGACTTCTCGCTGATATGATCGAATCTGCACAGCCATCTCCGCGAAAGCCACGTCATGGTGTTGGTGATGTACATCATTCGCCGAACGGTGAGCAGTGATATGTTCTAAAGACAAATTCCGCGATTGCAGGATGGGCGGAGACAGAGAACCGTAGAATCTCATTCGCTGGTGCTCCTCCTTCCAAAAAGGAAGCGCACGGATGAGGTGATTCTCCGTCTTCGCCCACGGGATCGCCGTGGAGTTTTTACTCAGAAACTTCTCCATAGCTTACTCCTGCATGCTTACTCCTCCTGCATTCTTATTAGTTTTTCCGATGTTGAAATACCCTCATCATGTTTGTAGTTAATGCAGAACGTCTACTGAATGCGTGTATTGATGCGGCTATGCCACAACCGTCACCTTCGTTCAAAAGCAGTTCAAAAAACGAGAGGGGCGGACGCGAATGTTCTCCGGTGACCCATTGCGTCCGCCCTTCCCCGCTAGTCGGAGGTCACCACGCCAATGTGGAGGATTTTGAAGAGGATTTCGACAGGTACCATACCGTTTTTTATCTGAACTCTGAACGAATCCAACGAGTTTTTTCAGTATCACTCCCAATCCTGTAGATCCGAATTCTCCTTCTCGCGAGTCTTCGGAAAGGTACGGTTTTTTTCGTAATTAGTGGAAATCTTCGGGTAAACTTAATTTGTTTAGTTGGTCGGATAATGAAATAGGAAGCTTGGAGAAACCCGACATCACACTTCCCCTTGACTGCTTCATAGAAGAAGAGAACATCACGATAGATTGTTCGAGAATAAGGTAATTACCTGGGAGTTACTTATTTGCCCGGATTACTCGGGATTTTGTTGGGAAAAGATAGCATATGCAGTTACGTTACAGGCACCTCAGCACTGAAAAAAAATAGGCCGAGTCACCTGTCTTGAACGCCTTCCCATTAGGTCCGCCGCACTACCTCTTAGAGAAGAGTACTGCTGACACGGTGCGAGGAGGAGAAGAGGGTGCCAATGAGCGGTTACACGGTTTGACTGCCGCCACGTTTTATCACGGCACCTCTCACTGATTTTTTTATTACAGTGTCTCGTCACATGATCACTCGTCATCGAGAACAACTGATGCTCCGAGCTCAGTTCAATCGACTCCCGTCAAGACCGGCAATCGTCCTGCTAGAACGCACAAGACACGGTTGCCTAAACCAACTTCTGTAGTGCAGGTGAACATGAGAGTATGTTGGACATTTTAGATTCCAAATCTCCCCTATCTTTCGATTTTGCATGGGAATTCTTTTTAGAAAGTTGGTCGTACCACCGCGGGACATACTCCGAAGAAGGAAGCGAAGTCAGCTGTTGTGCCACCCTATAATTATAGGAGACCGGAGGTAAACGATTTGAAATATCGGTTTAGATTGGAAGGATATCGGCTTTTTTTTCAAAAATCTCAGCGAACTAATGGTCTATTCATGGGGCCGTTGTGACCGCAATGATTCCCTTGTGCCACTTCGCAGCTTCACAAGAGTTAAACCTGATAGTTAAAACAAACCAGCTAAAAGAACTTGCGAAAGTGAGAAATGCCCCTCCCAAGCCGAACAGTCGAACATTTATATATTACCATAATCAGTAAGCACAAATTTTTGTTCTGAAATAATCTGCACACAGGCAACTTGAACCCCTTCGCTTGAGGAATAAACACTTGTCAAAATTTGCACGGAAGTCCGACGCCTTTAAAGACACGTCCGCGCTAACCATGGGGGCGGAACCGGGCCCATCATTGTGTCTTCCTGTGTGGCAAGCCGCTTCATTGAAGATAGGACTTACCAAAAAGAATTATTTAACCCCTGGTAGGCCCTGCTCCGCTCATTTAATCAGCATAAAATGTGTCTTTAAGTGCTGGAAGCAAAAGCTGCTGCTTGACCACATCCTGGCTGGGAAAAGGGTTGAAATGTGAATGAAGGGCTGCCAGCAGGTGTTTTCTAACCTACCAAGGGCGGATGTTTGGGCAAATATCAGTCTAACATGAAAGACTCCTAGACGCAGAACATTCCAGAACATAGGCGTTACAAAAATAAACCAGCACTAAATGTCGTTTCCAAAAATTGAATCGCAAAAAAAACGTGGGGGTAAAGGGTGAAACTGGGGTCTGATGAATGGTG